TGGTCCCCGTCCACACGGCCGGGTTCGCCTATCGTCTCCGCCCATGGCGCCTTACGGCCCCGGCGGGTAGGCAGCCGGCCCGCACGCGTGCGTTGCGGTACAGCCCACCTACAGGCGGACCCGTGGTGGACAATCAGAGCCAGAATGTCTACAACAAAAACTGTCCCGTCGCAGCCGACAGGCTTTTATGAGCTGGAACTGTAAACCTCCACTCCATCCACACGTGACACTCTCTCTCTCTAGCAAACAACAGACAACCGCCCAAAAGTCCAAGTGCCACATCCTCGCAGTACTCCCCTCCCGGCGACGCCTGCTCCGCGACTTCTTGTCGCCATACCCGGGAATATTGTCTCCCCATACGTAATAGAAGGGCTGAGCGCCTTGTTAATTCAAATCTTCCCCCAGCCTTTGGCGGGGCGGCGAGGGGAGGGGAGCGGTGGCACAGTGGGCTGCAACCTGCAGGAGAGAAAGAGGGAGGCGAGGCGGCGGCTGCAGCGAACGCAGCAGTCACTATTACGCTCCATTATGCCGAGTGCTTTCGGCTTGCTTTACATCATTTTGTTTGGAGGTGGAACAAAATGTTAAACTGCGCCGCCCCCCCTCCCCCAGCACCATCATACCGTGTCACCCACCCGCGCCCCGCCCGAGGCCGCCCTGCTCAGCCACCATCATATCGCACCCCCGAGAAAAGCCAGTCGTTATTGAAGTAGATTGGTAAGAGGGGCAATGCCATTTGCATAAGGACAAAGACAATGGTCTTTGGTTTCAACACGCATCAAGATTCGCTTAAGGATTAGTGCATTCCTACTTTTCTCAAGATTTGAGAACGGTAGTAAATCGCTAGTCGCCAGCCCCGCCCCCCCCACCCCTCATCTCTCCCTCTCTCTTACGACCTTCTCCACTTTGTCTCTTTACCCAAGCAAAGGGCAGCAAACCGTTGCACGCGGAGACAACGTCATGTGCGTACGTCAAGATGAGCGTTAACCTCTTTTTTGCTAACATGCTTCGCCTCCTGCAGAAAGACGCCATACCAGCAACGGTGGTACCAAAAGTTTGAACACTCTGCACACAGAGAGGAGTCAGGACTGGGTAAAGGAGGGGGGGGGTTGCCCACGGGACGGGACAGGGCCAGGAC